GACGGACAGACGGACGGACAGACGGACGGACAGACAGACGGAAATGGGAGACCTATTTCTTCGTATTCTAGGGGTCATGAAAGATCGAGAAAACGTAAAAGTAGAGAGTCGGCCGACGGACTCGACTACAATACTTCCTTTGCTTACGCTCGAGAAGTAAAAATTGGTCTAGAGAGTTTAGACAATACTTCCCTCGCTGTCGGAAACGTGACGACTGCATGCCTGTTTTGTTTTTTTTTTCGCAGTAGATTTCAAAGCATTCGGTTTTGTAGTTCCTGAGTAAATCAATAAAATAAATTTACGCATTCATTATTTTTTTCGAGTCACCTGGTATATGCAAATGCAAATATGTAATATGAATGGAATGATACATTACAAGTACAGACTTATCATATTTTGTACATTCTAGAAAGGATTTATTCGGCAAACTTTTGAGCTGACGTCAGCAGTTTTTTGGAGAAGATAACCAAATATATTTTGACTAAAAATTTATTATGCTCTTTATAACCTTAAAACATCTGCAAGATTTCAAAATATTCGGTTCTGTAGTTCCTGATTAAATCAATAAAATACATTTACGCATTCATTAATTTTTTTGGGTCACCCTGTATATGCAAATCCAAAAAATATGAATGGAGTGATAAATCACAAGTACAGACTCATCATGTTTTGTACAGTTTAGAAAGGATTTATACGGCAAACTTTCGAGCTGACGTCATCAATTTTTTAAATCAACAACCATAATGTTTTTTTAGTTATGATGAAGACGTTGACACAATCTTTTCTACTCAAACCATTTATTTCAGTATATGTACCTGCTTTAGTGCTCATTCACAATGGGCATAAAGCATAAAGATGTCCTAAGCTTTAATCCATAAAAGATTATGTTTAGTGCTCTATATGCTTATATTCGTTCACAATGAGCATAAGTGTTCATTCACAATGGGCATAAAGCACAAGAATGTCTTAGGCATTATGGTCATTGTGAACGAATACAAGCATAAAGCACTAAATATAAATTTTTATGCATTAATAATGCTTAGGACATCCTTATGCTTTATGCCCATTGTGAATGAGCACTTACAACTCTGATGCAGTTTGTGCAATTAATTTTGTGATAACTTTATTAATTTTAATTTACTCTTTTTACTGTATTTGGTCTTTTGTTATGTGTTTTCATTAGATTTACCCATATTTTAAAGTAATTTAGTTTTTTCAATCACCTGTAAATATTATTTATTTCAAATTGGTTGTCGACTCAGATAGCTGTGAAAATTATAAATAAAGTTGGCAGTACATCAAGTATAGTAATTTTGAAATTCTTTGTTGGCATTTCAATTTTGTGTTGTCAGAAACATGTGTGCCAGTTCGTGGTATAATCTTTGTTATTTTGAATTAGTTTATTTTTACTAATTTTTATAGTAAAAGCAATGTCTTTTTTAAATGGAAGGGAACATGAGGCAGTGTCACGAACATATAACTTTTGGTTTCTTTTAAATTATTTATAATCTCAAACTGATAAAATTGACATCTAGTTACTTTTTTGTAACGAACCTAAACGCGGGCGGCAAAATCATGATCTACTGCGCCGACAATCATTTTGGAATGTTATATTAAACCTAATATATCTATTATTTAAAGAAAAAAAAAATTGAAGCCTTTTTGTGAAAAATTCTTAGGTGATGGAGCTATCTTTGGATACAGCGTCCAAAAACACATAAGAATTCGTTATCAAATTGAAAACAATTTTTCTGTGATATGAAAGGTAGAAAAAAGTCAACGACCAAAGTTGTACAGTTGTGTGAGAAACTTGTTAATAAAAAAGTTATTCGAGATGTCCTCTTTTAGCTAACTCGCCTTCAATATCCCATTATTAGATTTAGAAAAAAAACCAAAGACCAAAGTTGTACGGATCTTTGAAGACTATACTCTACAATTATTTTTAATTATACAAACTGTTTTGTTTTTAAGACGTAACACATAAATTAGTTTTTTTGAATGAAACACCTCATATATTTTTACATTTTCTCATTAGCCTCTTCCTAGGTTTGATAACTCCAGGTTATTTTTGAAATTTCAATACGACGTTGTCACGTTATTTCAATTTTCTTGCAATTTTTTGACAATGGAAGAATTTACAAAAAATCGCAATAGGGTTATTTTTAAAATCTGTATTACAATATTTTGTGGAAGCGCTTTTTTGTGGTACCAGTTGTATCAAATTTTAATAGACAGAGTGTTATAAAAAATTCTAGAACTTTACCATTTTCAAATATCGATATTTCAAATAGACCTCTGTGTATTTTATTACTATAGCTTACTCCATTTTTCGTTCTCGTTCTTCTAATAACTGTCTCTTAAAAAAGTAAAAAATCGCAGTCACTGTCAGCTGTAAACATAGAAAATTTTTAACATAAAAGAAAATGAACAAAAAATAGAATAAAACTGAAATATCGATATTTGATTTACATTTTTTTTTTATTACACCACCACAATGCGTGAAAGTTACTTATTTCTTCACAAAATTACACATATTTTAAAAATAACACTACTGCAATTTTTTTGTGAACTCTTCCATTGCTAAAAAATTGCAAGAATATTGAAATAAAGTGGCAACCTCGCATAGGAATTTCAAAAAGTTTAAAGTCTAAGAAGAGGTCAATTAAAATATCTAAAAATATATAAGCTGTTTCATTAAAAAAAAAATCTAGTAATTCCGTTTTTCTTCTCAAAGTAGCCATGGTTTCATAAATTTAAAACTTGTACAAACTAATGTCGACGCTAAGTACTAAAAATTTATCTAAATCGCTGACATATTACGACACAGCCCATCATCAGAGCTATGCATAAACTAAAAAGAAATTAGTAGATAAAAAGCAAACTTCAATTGTTAATAATTAAAAAGCTCCAACACAAAAAATGAACTCTTAAAAGGTTTGAAATTGGTTAAGATTCGTCAGTCGTCGTACTATCACTACCCTTGCGCGAACTGAGCTAATTCGTACACTAACTACATTTATAACCTGATGTCATTTTTAAAATCACTCTAAACACTAGAATTCACTTAATTCCTAAAGAATAATTACTGACAGATTGACTTCACATCAAAGAATCTAAGAAATGTTACCTATGGGAAGCCTATTTGAGGTCTACACATGCATACGCATTTCACCTTGCAAAACTATGCGAACCACGTTATTCTTCAAACCACCCTCGTAAAAACCTTCCCAATTAAACCAGTTTTCAAACAAGAAAACCGCACTGGAATCGGTTTATTCGTTGGCAGCAACGGTGCCACAGACACAGAGACACAGATCCAAAGTTCGCCTCTATTTTCAGTGGGAGTTTAAAAATTAAAAAGGATTATTATACGAAGAAGCTACGAGAATGTTTTTTGGGTTGCATTTCTAAAAAATTCAGGTTCATTTTTACTGGTGAACAACCTTGTATACAGAGCTATTCAACTAATTTCCAGAGCAAACTTTGTCTTTTGTAAGTAGAAATTTATAAATAATTATAACGATGCCCCTAGATCTGACATTTAATTAAAACACTGTCATACTGACATTACTTGATTGATTTGTTAAAAGAAGTACTAAAACAGAAAGTCGAATTTATGTTATGAGTTATAACAATATAAAAAAAAATGAAAGTTGAGTAAAATAATGGACTATCACCATTTTACGACAGTTCGAACATATGCTAAAAATAATTGCTTTTGAAACAGATCATGTTGATTATAAAACAAAGTGTGAGTGTGCTTTATTTCACTCAACTTTCATTTTTTTTTGTTGCTTTATAATTTCTTGATCAACTTAAAATGAAATAAATAGTTGAAATGTTGTATATCATTGTACTGGCAATTTAATGATCTGTCAAAATCCGTTAAAAAATATAGCTTTGCGTCGCAACACTGACCCCATATGTCGCTATACTTGCAATGTATCTACTAAATTAAGATTTTCCTTTCAAGTTAAAAACAATGGTGTTTATAGAATTTCAATATCTCTATCCGTTCTCAAAATACAAGGCTGTGGAGTTATAACCGGGACACCTATGTAACGAATCCACAAAAAAAATTCTCGTTAATATATATCTACATTTTTTAATTTCTCCGTATCGAGACATTCATCTCTGTATTATCAATGATCATTCATATACTAACTTTTTTGCGTCTTTCCCAAGACATTACTGAACCCCTCTGTTTCTGACCTTTTGGTTTTACAATTTTCAATAATTTTTAGAATATTATGATCCTAATTTCATCTGCATTAAACCTTCTATTTTCCGAAAATTAGTATTTTTCCATAATATTTATAAAATTGGTAAAAAATGATCTGCTTTTATTCTGTTAAAAGTTCAAATATTATTCAAACGTACACCTTCTTATTTGTGAAATCTAAATTGCGGATCACGATTCAAAAAACGCGAACTATCTTTACCAGACATTTTTTTGCTAGGATTAAAACCGTGCTTTATTTGGTGAACCACAGCAAAATTATATGCTAAACATCTCCCAACTCAATTGGTCGTAAATCGAAAAAAGTTGTGCTAACTTTTATACGTGATTCGCTAATTCTTCTGTAGAGCATTAAACGTAAGTTTTCTTTTCCACTATTGGTGTTTTATTGTGCTCATAACTTGTCATAATTTGTGTCCATCAGCAATGGTTTTTAAGGCAGCTTTAAATTAATCATCAGACCGGTTAGAGTTTCCAATTTTTGTTTGATAACTACGTGGCATTTTCTATTTATACCTACGTAATAAATAGGCTTTGTTATATCTTAAATATTTTTCCAGTAGGTTGGGGTAATTGTACGTGCGCGACGTAAGCCCATTACAAATGCGCGGAATTCCCACAACACACATAATCTAATTTACAATTTTCTTGAAACCAATTAATATGTATTTGTTTTTAATATCTACATGAAATAAATCTTCAAACAGAGCAATAATTCTTGAAACAAGCGTAGTAAAAGTTCATCATTAAATTTACTTACCTAGTTTTGGAGGCTCCCTTAGACGAAATTCTATAAGAAGTAAATATGTCACTAATAAAGGTAAATAGGTAGATAAATAAATAAATAAATCGATACAAATATCGATGGAAGTTTTAGTCATGCTTTTTACGCTAATATATAAGTTGGCAGCAGTTGCTTAAAGCTCGTAGAGCGGTCATTTTCCCTAAATAGCAAAACACGGTATTACCCACTGCGCGGAATTCCCCGTTATTCCCTACAGTCATAACATTAAGAATTATTTTGAGTTACACGATACAAAAGTATCTTGGTTATTAAATTGTCTTAAGTCATTTTCTACACCCGAAGAAACAGTTTTTCTAATTTTCAACAAATAATTTTACTCGTACATTAGTTCTAACATGATAGTGTTTTCTCCATTTTTCAATTTACAAATACTGACAAAATCATTAACTATTCGATTATTCATACACTATTTCCTTAGAGAGAAATTCATGAAAATGATAATACTTACTTAATTTTTATAATGTTACAATTACTTATTATAAATTAAAAAAAAAAAAACAGTTTATAAAATTTTCAATTTCTTTGGGAATTACTACAGTTAGTTCAATCTAAGAAACTTTTTGCGGTAAAAATTTGTTTATGTAATATATAATATATCGCATAGCACTCGTGTTATAGCGCATTAGTCACTTGAGAAAATCAGCTCACAATACGAATATAACTCGCTAACTTAAATAAGTTAGGTTTAAATTTGTTATAATTAAGTTCTGCAAATCGTAGATAAAATTTTGTATGTTGTACGTGGGTTAATACATTATTATTACACTCGTCTGCTTACATAACTCGTCTAATGTCTCTGTATGCAAACTACGCCCTCACAGGTAACAGTACTTTTATCCTACCTGTAACATAAAGAATCATTTATAACCATACGCGATAACAAAAATAATTTATTTGCTCTGTGATGTAAGAATGTAAAAAAATCTTTTACACTATAATTCTGACATTTATTGTCACTAAAGTAACTTATTACAGAACTATCCTTCTGAGTGTTACAATCAACTTGGCTTCTTCAAATGTTTCATATTGAGAACTACGGTCGTCGAAAGGACATTTGAATGAACAAACAATCACTTATTGTTTGTTGTGTACAAAACACTACAATACAGTAAATTTTATAAGGGAAATACAGTGTGACACTGTATTTGCGTGAACATGGTTTGGCCCTTGACGTAATAATGTATCTACGGTTTGTACAAAAACCAATACTCATCTCATAACTTAGAAATACAATTATTTCTACTTTCAGGAACATCCTTATCAATATGACGTTTCAGTGATTTCCTGCTGTGTCAATCATCTTTCTTTGTTTGAAAACGTTAAGCATCCGTTTGTTCTTGCAGTTTTCTCGCTAAATTTATCGATATCAATTTGATACCATGGCTCAAATTTTTAAGCAGTACTCCGGTTTGTAATTAAGAACTTAATTTGTATCAAGGCGACGAATAGTCGAGCCAAAGGGAGATGGTGTAGGCACTATCTAAGACCGCAAAAAGAAAGATGAAAATAAAAGATCCAAGTTGTGAGTACTAACTGATTACCATGATTTATCAGTAAATAAGTTTGTTGGGTATTTTAATCTTGATCATTTTTACGTTTCTAGCTCTCAAGTCAAAACACATTTGCACTAGACTTATCTGGTGTAATGAAATATCCCGTATGTGGTTAAGTAGTATTATATTGTTTTTTGCGATGAATGCTCAGACAGATGTAGAAGAAACGGCGATAAACATATATACATAAAATTAAAATTATTACCTAGCTTTATAGTACTCATACTATCATGCTTTTATTCAAAGCGTTATACAGAATATTCGGTATGTTTTGCGATTGTCGTTCACAGAACATGAAACACCGAATATGATATCGAACCAATGTTGGAAGCAATTACGACAAACGATAACATATCGTTGGCTTTGAAAAACGTGCTTAGAAAAAATTCAGTGATATGTTCAGGAAGCTTGACCATTAATAACCAGCAGATAAATGCATGCTAACCACGTCTAAGTAAGCTGCAGTATTATCTAAGCACTCGGAGAATTTACCTACTACCAAAATTAAGAAGATACAAATGCATGTGTATTTATTCAAATTGGCGTAATATGATAAAAATACTAGTGAAGTAATGGCTGTAGTACAATAATACCCAATTACGTGCACGGTTTTTATGATACAAAACAAATCTATTTTTAAGCAACAAAAAATGCCTATTTTACAAATGGAATAAAACTATAGATGTAATACCTGCTTATAACGAGACATAAACCGAGTCGCGGAATTGAACGAGTGTGATAATAATGCAGTAGTCCACTTGTAACGTACAAAATTTTATCTACGATTCCACGAGAACACGTTCATATCCCCCTATCACACTGTAAGTGTGTATAGTAGGCTGGCGCAAAAAAACGACTTTTTTTTTGTGTTGAGTCTCGTGCGAAAATATGTTAGTTTATCATGGTCTAGGACAATTCGGCGCGGCCGACATGGCGCGGCCAACTTGGCGCGGCCGACTTGGCGCGAAACATTTTGGCGCAGGGACACTTTGGCGCAACCATCTTGGCGCGAATGAACTCGCACCAAGAAAAATAGATGTAATTATACAAAAATTGCACCCCATTGTAAACATACTCCTAAACGTGGAACTTCTTGCTCCGTGGATCATTTAGTTATTGGAATTGTGCGGATGAAACTGTGTATTTGGTTGCCTAAACTTAGCATAAATAACAGGGTGCCAACCACAGTACGAACAATAAATATTTTTTATATTATATACCGTCGTACTCGCGCCAAGATGGCTTGCGCCAAAGTGTCCCTGCGCCAAGTCGGCCGCGCCAAGTCTGCCGCGCCAAATAGTCCCATTCCGAGTTTATCATGTTTTAAGACCCTCCTCCAACGGACACCTCAAAAATTTTTTTTTGAAGAAGTCGCTCCAAATTTTTAAAAAGTTCTCAAATCGTCAAAAATTGATTTTCTTTTTGTTTAATTTTGTTTTTCTCGTTACGGTAATATTTTTTAGACGAAAATTCCCAAGTTTTTAGCTCATAATTTTTTTTAATTTACAAGAGCATTGCCTTAGATGTTTTCAAGCGACTTTTTAATATCTATATTAAGCTTCAATGAATGTTTTAGTGAGATAATCAATGAAAATACACCACGAGATGGAAAAAAATCAAACACAATGCTAGAAATATAATTTTTTATTAACTCGATATTTTTATGTAAACAATTACAACATTTTAACAACATTTAAATAAACTTTGTTACGAGTTCTGAAAACAATTGTAAATTTATACAATTTTAAAGCTTATAGTCGCTCGAAAACATCAAGGCAATGCTCTTGTAAATTAAAAAAAATTATGAGCGACCTTTAAAAATTAATATTTTGAGCTAAAAATTTGGGAAACTTATTTTTTTTCGTCTACAAAATATTACCGTAACGGGAAAACAAAATTAAACAAAAAGAAAATCAATTTATGACGATTTGGGAACTTTAAAAATTTGGAGCAACCTCTTAAAAATTTTTTTTTGAGCTGTCCTTTGGAGGAGGGTCTTAAAACATGATAATCTAACATATTTTCACACGAGACTCAACTAAAAAAAAAGGTGTTTTTTTTGCGCCACCCTAGTGTATAGTCTGGGGGTATATTTTTTAAGTGTTTAAAAAATAATGTCGGGACCCTGTCTCTACTAAGACTTGTTGGCCACAAAAAAAAATAAAAGCAGAAGTGCAATCATAGAAGATACAATGAATTACAAACAAAATTGCAAAGACTAATAGACAGGGCAGAGCGTTTCAAACGGTGTTTCTGCAGACTGAAAAACTAAAAAGTAACTAAGACTGAAGAAAAATAATTATTATTAATAAGCTGCCAAAGAATAAAAATATTCTGTCGGAGTTAAAAAGGAGGTAGATATGAATGAATTAGTAGGCATTTGAAAAAGATATGAAACTAAGACAAAAAAGTTATACCGAATTTTCCCATTTATTAGCATCTACAAATATACCAGAAATATACAAGTGGTCAAAAAATAAGAAAAGATGATGTTTCTGTTCGAAAATTTTTAGGAGATAGAAATGTGCCCCAATAAAAAAAATTAAAACTCGAAAAGAGTTAAAATCCAAAAGCGTGTACTTCCATATACCACGAAAAATGATCACGCAAAATATAATGAAAACCAGGATAGGTAAATATCATATAGTATGTTTCTGAAGCTAAGGCCATTTTATATTGTTCCGCCTAAATTATCTGATCGTGATACATATATGTGTTTACCCGCGAATATGGATTTGATGATGAAAAAGCTTCGACATTACAAAATAATTCCTTATCCAACATCAACAAAAGTAGGTACCTGATGCCATTGCATGTTCATCTATGTTCAAATATAAAATGTATGTATGGGCCAAAAAATACGATTTGGTTTTCACCATCAGTGCAAGGCAATGAAAACAAGAAGCAGAAGAAACTGACATTATCATCTACACAGAGTTTCCAGAGAATTATGGGTGTGTCAACTAAAAATCTGCACAAACTTTGAACATACGTACTTATGTATCGAATAGGTTTTTAACAATAGAAACATGAAAATTTGTAAACTTTATAAATATATGCCTAAAGAATGCAATCTCGTTCGCTGTCCGAGGTTTTTCCGACTTTTGTATAAGCTTGAGCCATTCGAGTTTCAAAGTGCTTGTTTTTGAATTGAAGAAGCTTAATTCTAGATTCGAATTCATCTTTAAGTGCAACCAAAATAGGAAAACTCCTACGCCTTTTTTAGAGACGTATATGTTGTTGTCCGCACAATAATTTCCATCTAAGCTAAAATATGATTCATCATTCATTACGCCAAATTTTGATTCAAAGATTTCAAAGAAATGTCTGTAAGCTTACGATCTTTTTCCGAGATTTTCCGTACATATTCATGTGTTACTTAAACTTTCCTCCCAATTTATTGCAAATATTCTAATTTTTCTCAATGCTTGT